TTTAAAAAGCTGTTTTTACCGGATCAGAGAGAATATAAACTGTTTATATGTTTATGCGAGGCCATCCCCCACTCCCTCGCCCCTCCTGCTTTCATAAGAAAAACACGCAAAGAGTGCTTGAAAATGTACGGTATAGCATCAGAGAGTGTCTAGGTTTTCAACATTTTCTGGGAGAAAATGCCCCCTGAATCCCCTACTGAAATGGGCCGAAGGCCCATCATCAACCACCCACAGATGTACTATGCATAATTCCCTCTAAGTTCAAAACATGGCACTGCGGGCCTGAGTAAAACACAGCGTGAATGTCCACACATCTGACGGCTGGGTATTCTAGGTGCGATATGTTGGTACCTGGGGTGATTTCCACGGGGCGCCGGCCAATATCCGACACAGTTCGTATTTTGACTCTAAGGAATATAACATCCAAGCGTAACTAGAAAACATACTCTTGAAGATGAATTTAAGCGTCTTCAAGGGCCATGACAGGTATAGAAAGGCATTGATTTATGACCTTCTTACGGGTCACGTAAGTTATAATCAGAAGTCAGTGCTGAATCCTCGACATCTTTCTGATTTTTTGTAGCGATTTTTTGTAAACTATGATTTAACGGTACCCCTATCTCTCCGTTATTTTGTTCTCCATGATCATGATGTTTGTCTTACGCGCAATAAAATTCCTCGTAGGACTATGCTTTTGCGACTTTTGTACTTGTAACTTTATCCTTGAGTAATTCTATCAAATGCCGTGTAGTTACCTCGAGTGAGAGTGTGCTTTCGAGGAAGCGCAGTATATCTTGAATCAAATTTGATTCAAAATATAAGACAAAGACAAAGACAAAGTTTTTTTTAAACCGAACGTATCTTTTGACCGGAAGATTTGTGGGAATTTACCTTTAAAGTTAATCTTGCACCCGACCTTGCACATGACAGACGTTTCTGCAAATCGCTCCTCAAACGACACCGAAGGGTCGTAAGTATTATCTTTTTGGCAGAACTCGGATATTCTTGAAATGGAATTTCGGTAAATGTCATCTCCATGAAAAATTAAGCTTTCCTTGAATTGAGCCGACAACTCTCCGGCAGCAGTCAAGCTCATGCGATTTAAGTGGAAACTAGCTTCCACGCTGCATAATTAATTCCTAGAGAACTAAGAGCCTGGCTCTGCTTTGATATTCAACCCGTTTTAGAGTTAATTTGCAAGTTAAAACGTTATATTTGTATTTGTAAACAATAGTTGTATACAGGACACTTAATACTGTGCATTTATAAGCTAAACTTCATGCGTGCATCAGTGGAGTATTAAATTGACTGAGACTATTGGCCATTTGGAAAGCGTCACGCATGATTTTTGAAAGCGTCACGCAAGATAACAACTTTAGTTAAATACCGTCCCGCTTATCAGTTTATCACGTCGAGTTTGAGATACGCAAGTCAGTTTTAAGAATAAAGAAAACAAAGAAGCAAACTTCAAGAAAATTACCACAAATGAGTGAGGCGTCAGGCAAACATAAGGTGGCATATTTGGAATCGGTCTGCGACGGATTTCCATAAAATGTCGAGGGTTTTTAACGCGAGTTTCTCAGAAAGATGTGACATGGTGATAGTTATCAGAAAGCCTAGCCAAGCATCACACTGACTCATTCCTCATAAAATTTGCAAGAAATTCGATATTCTACTGTTGCTCTTCATATGTACCGACTACTGATAAACCGATATGTTCAAGTTGACTGATGATTGCTGTCTGAGTTGGACATGTTTTGTTGCGTTACAGTTTCTGTGTTCAGACCATAGATAAAAAGACATTTGACCATGGATGTCTCGCTCCAGCGGTAGGTAAACAAGCGTCTAGAAAGGCAGAAGGTGCTGACAAAACTAGTGGATAAGAAGATGGGAAGATAAGCAATCTGGCTCCCAGTTTATATTTCTCTATACTTAGTGTAACTCTTTCCAAGTTCGCTGATTCGCTCGTTCTTTTCATTTCGTCTATTCGTTCGTGCGTTCGTAAGTTAGTCGGTTTTCTTCGTTCATTCTTTCGTTCCGGTTCGACCAGTAT